CATGATTGCACATTCTTATTTGCAAGGACAGAATTAGTTATACTGAAATAAGCTAATTTTTTACCTTGCGGTTTGTACTCTTAAAACATCAAATTCAGCTTTCATACAAAGAAAAATCACGATTATCGGAGTTTCTGAATATCTTTTGACTTATGTTCAGCGGGTTCCGGTAGATCTAAAAGATAGAACAAATTCGTTCTCTCTTTTTCGGTCGAGGAATCAGAACTGCACGAATGGCTTCATCAAATACTAGCTTTAAACCATTTTGTGTGTAGGCTGAGCATTCCAGATACTTGACGGCATTTATTTCTTTCGACATCGCAAGACCCTGCAATTGAATAAAATTTATTGACTTAGTATAACAAACCTGTATGCATATCGTTTTATAATAATAATAAAACCTAAGGGGATCATGAATGATGTGATAAAACAACTGAGATAGAGTAAATGAAAATCAAGCGGCTCGAATGCTAAATACATATTTTTAAAACACTATTATCGGCTATTTGAGCATGTAATTCACCTGAGGGTAGGTAATTGGCGATTGTCCTCTCGCCTTAAGAGCCTTAATTTGCTCAGTGTCGTCTCGAAGATCACTTTTTGTCCCAACCAATATAATGGGGGTATTTGGACAATGGTGAGTGACCTCGGCGTGCCATTTAGCACGAACGTTCTCGTACGAAGGTGGGCTGACTAAGGAGAAGCAAATTAAAAAGACATCTGTCTGGGGATATGAAAGGGGCCTGAGCCTGTCATAGTCTTCCTGGCCTAAGGGACGAAAAATAAACCAAGACAAATTTACCCGCCGTATCCCATAAGCCAAGATTAACTGGCCTTCCGTCGACCATAACATTTGCTGAATAATTGTCAAAAACAGTAGGGATGTATTCGCCAGGGAATGCGTTGTTTGTGTAGCTAATGAGAAGACAAGTTTTGCCAACAGCTCCATCGCCTACGACAACGCACTTGATTGCCTGCATTATCTAGATAAATAAAGAAGCTATGGCTAAAATATTGCATATACCTGCAGGTATGATCAAAAGTGATAAAATTCCAGATATAAAAGTATAAATCAACCAAACTAATAAGGCCAAAAAAACGAAAGAGGCACAAGGAAGAATTCGCGGCAGACGGACAATCGGAATCAGAATAAGAATTACCGAATGGATCGAATAAACAAAATACAACCAAAAAATGTTGGTATATTTGCATAAATTGTGATTTTTAAAGATTTTTAGTGTGCCTTTTTAGGAAGTCATTCTACTTAAGTTAAGAAAATTTTTTGATTATTCCTTTTACTTTTTAAATAGATTAATATTGTTTAATTTACAAAAATTACGATATATTAAGATATGTATATTTTATAAGCTAGTCCAAGTTTAAAAAACTTTATTTGCTCTTTTAATTGTATAATAACCAATCTTTACAAGCTATTCCATGCATTACTACATTTTATCTTAATCAGTCGACATCCGCTTTATAAAATAGCCAGTTGGCCTTCAAGTGGTAATCTTCGTGTTCTACTCAGAAGAATTATGTTAATTTACTTTTCTCAAACCTAAAATGCTAGATTCTATTCTAGCCAAATTTATTCACTTATCATATTAATTAGCAATAAAGGACTTCCATAGAGCAGATAGTGCGGTAATTGTCGTTTAATTTCGGCTAACCTCTCTACATAATCCCCTCATAATGAAAAAAGTTGAGTCTTCGATAGCCTCTTGGTTTATAATTGTTTTACATAC